CTGAGAAATATACAATTAATGATCTTAAGCACTAAGGAGTGGCTAAAAATCTGACATAAGGAAATTGTCTAGCGATAGGTCTCAATTGTATCCGATCAATTGATCTATCAGATAGAGTATTTCTTTCAATACTAATTTTTATTATTATTTAATAAGTTTAATTTCGTTTGTTTCATCATCTCATGTACGATCATGGTCTCGGATTGTTATACTTCTAACAATCCTAAGAGTGAACTTACTCGTTATCTTTAATTTTATAATGATATTTGAAAATTATTATCATTATTTTATTAATGTATTCTCAGATTAATGATTTTTCTAGCAAACCAGTAGTCTGATTAATGATCTGAAATATACTTTAATTTTGCACTTCAAAATGAAAGATTTAAGTGAGTTAAGGTATTTTCTTGGTTTTGAGTACCAAGATCAAAGAAAAATATACTGTTGAACTAGAGAAAATATACTCTAGAATTACATGAAGATACTAAATTAAATGGAGCAAAACCCACTGCCACTCCCGTAGAGAAGAATCTAAAGTCGACTTCAACAGAATATAATAAAAGCCTACAACAATATGTTGATGATATGCTCTTGTAGAAGAAAATGAAATGTTTCAAAGATTGATATAAAAATTAATCTACTTGACACATACACAATTAAATATTATGAATGTCGTGCATTATCTTAATCAATTTTTACAGCAACCAAATAAGTCACATTTGAAAACAACTCTGAGAGTAGTCATATATTTTAAAAAGGAACCAAGACTGAGAATCTTGTTACCAACAAGAAGTAGTTGTCGGTTGACTACTTAATATGATGTTGGTTGAACTTTTTGTTCAATGTTTAGAAAGTCAAATACATGATTTTGTATAAAGTTGGAAGACTCTAATATCCTAAAAATCAAAGAAGCAAAATATTATAACTAAATCTTCTGCTGAAGCATAGTACAGAAATATGACTATGACAACAACAAAAACTATTTAAATTAAAGAAATTCTTACAGAATTTGGTGCTGTGAAGCAACAATCTACAAAATTTTATCTTAATAATAAAGCATCACTAGAAATAAATGTTAATCCAATATTCTATGAGAGAACCAAAAATATAAAAATTAATTGTCACTTTACACACAAAAAAATTAAGAGAATCTAATTCATACAGAGCACATTACATCAACAAATCAACTAGCATATATCATAATTAAAGCTTTAGAAACTCAACAACGTAATTATCTTTTGTCCAAGTTGAGAGTTAAAAATATTTTTCAACTAATAATTTGAGGGGTGTTAGAAATAGTTGAATTAATTGTCAATCTATTAATAATTAGTTTAGAATCAATTAGATTATTTAGCATTATAAATATATATATGATTGTAAATTTATTGAATATGGTTGAATAAATAAAAGATTTATACTCTTCACATTTGTTTACTGGTTTCAACAACTACAGTCACAATTCAATGTTATTATTTATATTGAATCAAATTTTGAGTCAAGATGTTTGATATATGTGACTACTAAAATATTAAAGTTAAAATTTAATTCAGGAGTAATTTTTTAAAATAAAGTAAATTAACATAAAATATGGAATGAAAATTCATAAAACGGTACTTATGGTGGGACATCAAAGATCCCAATATTTAAGCATACCATTGGCTTTAACTTTCAATTCTTTTTGCCGATGGGAGGGCTGGCGTATAAGTAACCATTTATGAAAGATGAAAGGTTAGGTGGCCATACATCTTATTTCTCGGGTTGTTGTTTCTTAAGTTTGATATAAAATAAAGCCTCAAAAGATTTTTACAAACAATTGTTGCCTTCACTATTTGTTTTATCTTATCCTAGTAAGCGGTTATTGTTCGTTTCTTGAAAAATTTTAATTTTTTATATTTTTTATATTTTTATATTTTATTAATAATATATATATATATATATATATATAATATTTCAAAATTTTATAATTTTTTTATCTCCTAAAATATTATATAAATTTATTCATAATTTAAAATCATACGTATGTCTTTAATACTATTCTGTGCATATGTTTGTAATATTGTTTTTAAATAGATGTATTTGTAATATTTCTGCTAAAAAAAGGTGTTTGTAATATTTCTAATTTCTCCACGGAAATAGAGTGACGCGTGATGCCCTATAACGTATACGATATGGCCCTTGGACCTTTTTCATGGACGTACGTCGGCCTAAATTTATTAATTGTTAAGTCACTTTACCAATTATCGTATAAACCAAACTAAGATGATTAAGATATTAAAAACCAATTTAAATATGTTAAAAAAAACCAATTTAAAGCTTCTTCTCATCATGTAGGCAAGTATGTTATCTTTCAAGTGTAAAATCATGAACCAAACTATCTCAATAACTAAAAGATAGTTATTATCTCTAAAGATATTAAGTTTAAAAACCAATTATTACAAGATATTTGAGCATTGTTAAATAATAAAAACTTTTAAAACATATACTACCATTCGTAATCATCTTAGATTAATTAAACCTTTAAAAAATTGTGCATTTGACTCTACTTCAACTTTCTATATTGTATAAGGATTGAGTGATTGGTGGGTATGATCACATAAAATTTAAAATTATCGTATAATTTATATAACTTTTATATATAAAATAATGTGTTTGCCCTATAAGTTATATAATCCTTAACTAGGTGTGCTATTTTTATGGATCGCGTAAATTATATAAATATTTTTTATTTATAAATTAAAATATATTATTTGTTTAAATATATTGGAATCTATAAATTAGAAAATTTAGAGTCTTAGTGGTAAAAAATTATGTTTTTTCCCTAAAGATCTTGAGTTCAAGTAGTTTAAAGAAATTAATTCTACAAACTTCCTTATAATCATTTCGTATTATTAAAAATGTGTTATTTGAAATAAGTTAAATAATATTTTATCCTAATTGATTGACACTGGAGATATTAAATAGTATTTATTTGGGAAGAATAAATGTAAGGGGAAATAGTAATTAGTATGCGAAGAAATTGATGAAAAGGGAATATATTAATTATGATTAGATTTTTAGTATCCAAACTTAAAACTCATATTTATTTACTTACCTGTTAAGAGTAAATTATGCATGTCATTTTATAATTAAAATCTTAAAGTGATAACTATGCACATTAATTCTTCCAGGAATGCCAAGCCTTTCCTTTCATGTTTCCCGTATGTGTATATATCATATCTTCCCAATTCCCTGGCTTACCAACCCCATTGCTCAAAGTCCAACTTTGTAAAGGCCAGTGGTTGCTGAAAATGAAGGCGATGGTGGTGGTGTGGTGGTCGATATATGTAATAGTGGTGGTGCAGGCGAAGGCCGGAGAAGACAACTTGACGTACGACGGGAGATCATTAATCATCAATGGCCAACGCAAACTTCTGTTTTCGGGTTCCATTCACTATCCCCGCAGCACTCCTCAGGTAAGTAATTCAACTCGGGGACGGACGTAACTTATGTATTATGGACAAGCTGAGTAAATTTATAAAATATCAAATTTTGTTTTTCTCCGGACACCGGGGACCAACACAACACCTTTTTCATGGTAGGTGAGAGTCAAATATATTAAACAAAATATAGATAACCTAACACAAAATCTTTGATTACGTCACGAGGTATTGGAATTTTATTCATGAATGAATGAATGTCACCAACAAAAAAGCAAGTCTCGCGCTTTTCTTTGGCTTTTCAATAGAAACAAAACTCTTTTCTCCTTTATTACTTTTCTAAAGGTAGAGATTTGAATGATTACAGTTGTGGGTCACGGGAACATTATCTTTCCTTTTTTTTGTCTGCAAAAGTGTACTTGTGGCTCAGTGATCCTACACTTTGTTTTTCTACAAATTTATCGTTATGAAATTATAAGCAAATTACTTGTTTGTATGCAGACGTGGCCATATTTGATAGCCAAAGCTAAAGAAGGGGGAGTTGATGTGATTCAAACATATGTATTTTGAAACGTGCACGAGCCTCAGCCTAGTGAGGTTAGAACACTTGATCATAACTTAGTTGAAACTATATTTCTAGAGAGAACAGATCGGATTAGATCGAATTTTTTTATCAATTTGATCCGACCTAAGAAACATATATTATTCATCTAATCCGACTCGATCCAGCTTCATCCTTTATAAAATTCTTCCTTTTTCTTTTACAAAGTTTACAAGTAATTTTTTTATCTGATCGGCTTATATCGGTCCAATTTATAAAAAAGGTCCCTGTAGTAGTGCTTTTAGTATGTTGAGCCCCTCTACTACAATTCAAGTACGTGTAGTCCCTTTACTTTCCCAAATATGTATTTTATATTCCAAAGTCAACTTTTTCCTGATGTAACTTTTTAAGAAAAATATGATGACATGACATATATATACTAATATTTTATTATATACTTGGACACGATTTTTACATATTTTTAAAAATAGAAAAATGCATATATATCTCTATAATGATATAAATATTGTCAAAGTCTATAACACTGTATGTCACATCTTCACATGTTTAAAGGGGATTTCCAGTTTGGCAACGACGATGTCCCTGGTATTGTATATCGAACAGATAATGAGCCCTTTAAGGTATCTATTTATTTTTTAATTTGTAAATTAAAAATGCTAATATATTGCTTCTTCTTTTTTATCTCCAGAAATGCCACTATTAAGATTAATGTCAATTTTTATTTAACTGGTAGCAAGTATTTGGTTGTTTGAAGTTGTACATGAAGAACTTCACTACCAAGATAGTGAACATGAAATCAGAAGGTTTATACGCTTCGCAAGGAGGCCCAATAATACTATCACAGGTAAACTTAAAGAAGCTCTTATATTTTTATTTTTTATATTTATTTTTCGATTTGTAGTTAATGTAAAGTACTATCTGTTCAAAAGAATCTTAATCATTTGATAATGAATATTTAAACACATTTACAGACGTCGTGCTCAAACCTAAAATCTTTAAGAATAACAATCATCCCTTAACCATTCAAGTTGATCGGTTCGTCTAAACTTCTTTTATTTTCAAAACTGACAAAAACTTGTGTGAACCATGAAATAAATTTGCAGATAGAGAATGAATACCAAAACGTGGAAGCAGCTTTCCATGAAGGAGAAGCTGTTTTAGTTAAATGGGCAGCACAAATGGCGGTGGACCTCGGAACTGGTGTGCCATGGGTCATGTGCAAGCAAGTCGATGCTCCCTGTAAGCACCAATATTTTATCCCAAAAAAAATCATAAAATAAAGTTCATGCACCTAACTAACTTTTGATTTTCCAATCGCATCAGAGGTTGCATTGGCCTACCAGTACTATTTTTGTTGTCATCAAAGTGGCCACTAAATGATGTTAGGACTTAGCACACACATGATCTTTGGCCTCTTGTTTCTCCTTCGGGCCACTGTGTGAGTAGTTTTCACTACTGAGTCAGACTTCCATATTTCAACCACTCAGACATTATTATACCCCACCTTTTATTTCGTGGTCTCAAAATTCAAAGCTTTATTATATTCAAAGCTTTGGTACCTCCAAAATTACAACGTTGGTTGGCGCCCGTTGGATCATTTTGAAAGCTGTGAGCAACATTTATTTCTTTAATCGACCCTACTCACCTAACCAACTTGCTGCCCAATTATTGCCGCCCACTGCTACAACCACAGGATAAGATGCACGTCAGGAAATCACCAAGCACACCATAAGTTACTATTTTTATATGTAAATATATGTAAAAATTCGGGTATAAAAACCCGAATGAATGTAAGAATGAGGGGGGAACCAACAGGAACAAAGGAGGGGGTCTTCTTCGACAAGATAAAAAAATGTACTTGGGGCTCCCAATAGTCAATAAACAAAAAGGGTAAGCAAAGGATTTTGCTCTGTTCGTTTCTTGTAATTTAACAGAAAGCAATAGTAATTTCTAAAAGTATTTTGAATTCATTTTCGAGTTCTAGCGTGTGGTGTGTGTATTTTGTTTTAAAACAGAAGCAATACGAGAGTCATATCATCTTTTCTTCTTCAATTTTGAAAGAACCATAAGCAATAAAAAAGAACCAACATTTTTAGATTCAAAATCAAGTTCATTACCCTTTCGAAACTCAAGTATTTTCCATTGTTATTTTGAGACAACTAAACTAAAAATATTTGAATCATTTTATCATTTCTTGGCAGCCTTTCGATCAAAAGAATTTTAAAGATTAAAATCAGAATCATTCGAACATAAAACAAAAGTGAAAATGGTATGTTTATCTTAAAGACTAGGGCCATTTCCAGTATGTGCTTTGTGTGGGTATGTGTGAGTGATTTCGAAATAAACAAAAGGGGTTTAGAGTCGATTTACGTGAGTGGTGCAAGTTCCAGTGGAGTCTCGTTGACTCCATTTTCATCACCGTTCGAGTTCAGTAACCAGAGAAGAAAAATGGACGTTAATCTTGGTAAATAATTTTTTTTGAAACAAAACGGCAAAGAGCGAGATAGAGAGAACTTACCTTGGCTGCGAGACAAAGCGTCGGGATGTGAGCGATTTCGTTTGGTTTTGAAGAGGTTTAGGCCTCAGATTTAGAGATTGATCGGAGAGTAGCGTGACCACCCTGATGCGGTGGCCAGTTCGGTGGCCTTGGTTTAGGCCATGGAGGCTGTTTTCTGCCGATTGGAAAGAAACAGAGAGTAGAGAGGAGAAGCAGGGCTGTTTTTTTTCTTGGTTATGGGTTTTGACCGAGGGAGTGAAAGAAGAGAGTGGGGAGGGAAGTGAAGAGCGACTGAAGGGTTTAGTTTTAGTTTACAAATAGATTAAGTTTATTTTTATGTTAGGTTTTATATTAAAGTATTTGGGTAAATTAGTTCTTTAGCCACTGAGTATTTAGGGTAAAATTGTAGTTCAATCATCTAATGTTTAGCGTCTATTTTCATTTTAGTTACTGGTAAGGGCTAATTTCGAATTTATCCATTTGTGTTTGTTTTACTTAGTTATTTTACAAATTTAGATTTTAGTTATAATTTTTTGGGGTTATTTGTGGTACATGTCATCGTAATTTTCTGTATATTTCATTTAGGTCATCAAATCAATTTTTATGGGTTTACAATTTGGTATTTTTACTTTATGTGTATTTAATTTTAGTCCTAATTGTTAATTTATTTAATTTTAGACATTTAACCTCTGAATTGTTACATGTTTCTTTTTAGTCATGTTTATGTGTTTAGGGTTTATTCTAATTTTAGTCCTTTATGATGTTGATTTGCTTTAGTTTCATTATTTATTTTGGTGTAATATTCATATGTCCATTTCAATTAATATTTTGTTTGTATTTAAAATAGTGAAGTTTTGTAAATATATCATTTTAGTCCTTGTTTTAATTTGGTTTAATTATGATTTAGCCTTCAAGTTTTTGATTTGTTGTACTTTAGTTCTGTTGAAAACATTTTGATATTTCGATATAACAAATTAAGTTAAATGAATTTTAAGATTTTTCAAAAAGATTTTCTAAGTATATTCGATATAATTATTCGAATATCAAAATATTACTCCAAATCTTTCAAATGTCATTTTTAATCCTTACTCAAATGTAAAATTAAGTTTTAATCTTAAAATTATTTCAAAACAAAATTACAAAATATTTCGAACCATTTCAAAGCCAAAAATTCCAGATTGCTCAAAGGGAACCGATTCCCCCAAGGGGGTACCGATTCCCCCCTGAATGGTTTGGCTCTGAGAAAAAAGAATAGAATGCTCGGAGGGAACCGATTCTCCCTTGTTTAACGATCGAAATATTTGAATTTTACACTTAGGGAACCGATTCCCCCCACACGCTCTAAGCAGAAATATTAATTGTTTTCACACTTAAACGGCTCCAATAACTTCATTAATGATCCCCAACGTTCAAAAGTGATTCAAGGTGTATTTAAACAAGCTTAGAAGCCATTGATTAACAACAAGAAACAACAAGCAACTAGAATCAAGAGAGAATCAAAGAGAAAGCATCAAACCTCCAGTTTGAGCATTTTAAGCTTATTTTTCATTCAATGTTCATTTTGCTTTCAAGAACACTACTTGTACTCAATTGTATTCATTCTTGAGTATTCTTTTCTTTGTTCTAGAATTGTTCAAACAATCTACCTTGTGAGGATTTCCTTGTAAGTTTGCAAATTTGTATTGTTCTTTTTGGGAGAGAGTGTTCTCAAGAATTTGGGTATAATTCTTGAGGGTTTGTAAGGTTACTCTTTATCCTCAAAAGAAAGACAAATTAGTGAATTTGTGGAAAATTCTTAGTGTGGATAGCTAAGGTAGTGGATGTAGACTTTGGTTGAGAAAGTCGAACCACTCTAAATCGTTGTGCAATTACTTCTAATTTTCTGCAAAAGCTTCCACCAAATTTTTGCCAATTCACCCCCCCTCTTGGTCGATTCCGTCAAACGATTAACTCATTAATTTGCATCAGAGCCTAACTCATTTGAAGGTTTAATCGCCTCTTGAGTCGATTCGGGAAGAGTTACATCGATAATCAAAGTCATCAATGGCGTCCACTTCAAACTTCGACTCCGGTTTCGATTCGATGCCCGTCAACAAGCCTCCTTTCTTCAATGGGGCTAACTATGCCTAATGGAAAAATAGGATGATGTACTTCATTCAAGCAAGTGACATGGGAGCATGGAATGTTGTAGAAGACGGATATATCAAGCCTCTTACTCATCCAAGAATGTGGAGTGAATGAGAGACAAGATTGTTCCAGCTCAACTCTAGAGCCATTCATATCATATTTTGTGTTGTTGGACCAGATGAATATTAAAGAGTTTCATCTTGTACAACCGCCAAAGAAATATGGGACAAGCTTCAAGTCACTCATGAAGGTATCGATGAGGTAAAAAAATCTAAAATTAGTATTCTAACACATAGCTATGAAAATTTTAGGATGAAACCAAATGAAGATATCAAAGCTATGACGGATAGATTTTCAACGATTGTCAATGGTCTCAAATCATATGGAGAGATCATGTCAAATGAAAAGCTTGTGAGGAAGTTAGTTTACTCCCTTCCAAAATCATGGCAATCAAAGAAGATGGCAATCATCGAGTCTAAGGCCTAACGCCCTTAACTCTTGAAGAACTAATCGGTTCCCTCCTCACTCATAAAATGATGCTTGAAGATGAGGTGGACCTCGATAAAATTGACGAGACACCAAAGGAGAAAGAGAAGAAGAAAAACATTGGAGTTGCTCTCAAATCTACAAAAGATGAGAGTGATTCGAATGAAGATGACGAGGAAATGGCATTGTTTTCCAAACGGTTCAGAAAAATGATGAGACCTTACTGAGAAAGAAAATTCAAACAAAATGAAGGCCTAAAAAATGAACAAAAAGAGAAGGACCCGATCATTTGCCATGAATGCAAAAAACCGGGGCATGTCAAATATGATTTCCCATAATTGAAGAGAAAGAGTCAATCAAAGAATAAGCACAAGGCTCATGTGGCTACATGGAGCGATGAAGAAGGTTCCGATGAAGAGGAACAAAAAGTAGAAAACTTGTTCTTGATGGCATTCGGGGAAGATTCTAAGGTAACCTCTAACTCATCTGATTTTGATGATTTATCCTATGATGAGCTATTAGAGGAATATAATGGGTTAGCTTCGGATTATGAGAAATTGTTTTTAAAAAATAAAAATGATGTTTCAAAATTGAAAAATGAAAACAAACTCATATCCAAAACCAACAACGATCTTGAAAGTAAAATCAAAGATTTGCAAATCAAACTAGAAGAGTTTGAAAAGAAAATTTTGGATTTGCAAAATTAACTTTCAAAGGTCAATGATGATCATCAAAAGAATATTAATGATCTTAAAACTTCTTTTGATAAAGTTTGAACAAAACATTTTGAAATAGGAGAAAATTCAAAATCCAACTTTGTTAGAAAAGATTTTAAAAACTACAATCATAGAGGTCCCCAAAGAACCTCTAATGGAAAAATTGTTAGAAGTATGTGGGTTCCTAAAGAACTCATTACTACTAAAGATAAAGATATCCTACACAAATGGATACCTAAGGGGACTAGGATTTTGAAAACTAATGAATATGGACCCAAAAGAATCTGGGTACCAAAAATAAAAAATTAATCTATGTTTGTAGGGAAAGGAGCATTGCTACAAGGAACGGGAAACAAATTCAAATTCATGGTACCTTGATAGTGGATGCTCGAGACACATGACCGGGGACAAAAACCGATTCATAGAGATTAACGCCAAAAATGGAGGAGAAGTGACTTTTGGTGATAATTCAAAAGGTCACATTGAAGGTATAGGTACAATAGGTAATACATCTTCCATACAAATTAAAAATGTTTTATATGTGAATGGATTAAAGCATAATCTTTTGAGTATTTGTCAATTTTTCGAGAAAGGATTCAATGTCATGTTTGAAACTAATGGTTGTAAAGTTATTGACATTGCATCTAATCAGATTATGCTTATTGGTCATAGAATAGGAAATATTTACATGGTGCCTTTGGATTCTATTAATGTGACTAATTTATGCCTAGTTGCAAAAAATGAGCATGATAGTTGGTTATGGCATAGGAGACTAGGACATGCTAGCATGAGTGTTTTGCAACGGTTAGTTCAAGGAGAATTGGTTCGAGGGCTGCCTAAACTAAAATTTGATAATGATAAAATCTGTGATGCTTGTGCTAAAAGAAAACAAAAGCGGGTTTCTTTTAAATTCATTAATAATGTGTCAACTAGTAGAGTATTACAATTGATCCACTTAGATCTTTTTGGGCCATCTAGAACTACTAGCTTGGGTGGAAAACAATATGCATTTGTCTTGGTAGATGACTATTCTAGATATACTTGGGTTCTATTCTTAAGTACTAAAGATGAAACATTAGAAAAATTCATCACGTTTTCAAAAGTGAGATTACAGGCATTTCTTCTAAAGTTCGATTTTTCCTCTCAACAACTCCATTTTGTTGAGGGGTTCTAGGTACTGAAAAATTATGGCTAATACCATTAGAATTACAAAACTCAGTAAATCCAAGATTTTCAAACTCAGTTCCATGATTACAGGTGATCCATCCAAAGGGGTAACAACTCGATTTTCTCTTAGAAATATTTGTAATTATGTTGCATTTATCTCATGCATAGAGCCTAAGAATATTAAAGAAGCATTAAATGATGAACATTGGATTATGGCTATGCAAGAACGGTTAAATCAATTTGAGAGAAGTAAAGTATGGACATTAGTTGAAAGGCCTAGTAATAAATCTACTGTAGGTACTAGATGGGTATTTAGGAATAAGCTTGATGAGAGTGGTAATATAGTGAGAAACAAGGCTAGACTTGTTGCTCAAGGGTATACTCAAGAAGAGGGCATAGACTATGATGAAACATACTCTCCCGTAGCATTTGCATGTTTTCATGAATTTAAATTATATCAAATGGATGTTAAAAGTGCATTTTTAAATGGTTTTATAAAAGAAGAAGTGTATGTGGAACAACCTCCATGTTTTGAAGATTCAAAATTTCTGGATCATGTTCTTAAATTGACAAAAGCACTTTATGGTTTAAAATAAGCTCTTAGAGCTTGGTATGAAAGATTGTCAAACTTTTTAATTGAAAAAGGTTTTTCAAAAGGGAAGGTTGACACTACATTGTTTTTAAAGCATAAAGGTAAAGATTTATTAGTAGTTCAAATTTATGTTGATGATATAATATTTGGTTCTACTAATGATGTTCTTTCCCAAGAATTTTCTAAGCTAATGCAAAACAAATT